CATTCAGGCAAAAGATTTTAGATACTATGGGAGCAACATAGAAAACAGTCATCTTGAAGCAGCTTAATAACAACAGTTCCATCACTCCTGTAAAATGGAAATAGGTCCTCAGACTAGGTGAAGAGAAGTTCATTCAGAATACAAGAAATGCCTTCCTGGGTCACACCATTCAGTCAATCATTCTGCTTCCTACTGTGGCCAACCAAATGTTTTCAAGAAACTCACGTTCAGGATTAAAGGCAGTAGTCTCTTCTTCAAAGTGATCTGCCTTCTTTTTGCTTTTCTTTCACTGGTTCTTACAGTGGCCTTCAGATGAACACTTTTAATTTGCTGTCAGTTTAATTTCCCTCTTGCTGATTCACTCTTGATACAAAATGACAATTAAGGCATCTCTCTCTGTCCTTTTTAACCTCTTAACATATACACTCCACACTAGTCCAAGGCCTCTTCCAGAGACAATTTGCTCTTATGTTTTTGGTATTTTCCCTGCCATTCTCAAGATGTAAGCCTTATCTCAGTATATACAAGGTTTTCTTTTTTCATTACTTCCTAGGCCTTTTTCTACCTACTTATATTTCAGATTCATTTCCTTTACCTCTTTGTTCCAGGGCAGAGTGGGGGAATTCCAAAGCGTTCTTTGCCTTTCCTGCAAGGTGGAAAAGGGATCCATGTCCACAAGCTGTGTTCTTCTCTGTCCTGGAGTCAATTTTAACTGTTTTGTTTTCTTCCTTATTTCTGTCTCCTGCCTAAGTAAGTAAGTAAGTAAGGAAGGAAGGAAGGAAGGAAGGAAGGAAGGAAGGAAGGAAGGAAGGCCTTTGACTCACAAGGCGGGCAAGGGGGCTGGGGGTTCCTTTTCAGAAATGCTGATGATCATCAGATGCCACAATGAAGATGTTAGTCCTAGGAATTCCTGCTATCTTTAGAAAACTTAGAAACTTATATTTGGAAATATTAGAAAACTAAAAGAGGTTAAAAGAAAACAGAAAAAGCTGGCACACATGCTCTCTTTGAAGAGCCCTATCTTAGGAAATTTGAACGTTTGGCACTCAGTATGTCTCAATGTTTAGACTTTTTGTTAGTTTCAGTTAACTCCTGTGTAGTTTCATCAGATGTTTTGTCTGAATGGATATATAACCACGTGTCAGGTAGTTGCCATTCTTCCAGGCCTTGCACCAATTCAGTTATCTTATCCATCTCTTACTATGGAAAGTTTACTTCACTCTGAATGGGAAAGGAACAGTTCATGCAGAGTCATGCAGAGTTAACCTGGACTGATAGTCTTTACATTGTCTCTGCTGTCTCTGAGCTGAGCCTGCTGACAAGTAAGACTGTTTACCAATATTTGCAAATTGTGCTGTCCTCAACGAGAAAGGGTTATCTTGACATGTTGAGACATCCCCGACAAAAAAATTGCTGCAAGGTTTTTGTTTCATTTTGGCTCTTGCATAAGAGCAAAAGGATAGCACCTTCACCCCATGTAAGGATCTTTAGCACACACATCCAGAGACCTTTGATCCAAAGGTTGTGATTTTTGTGGGGTCTTTCTGCCTTGTGATAATTGAAACAGTTGGGAGAGATGGTCTGAAATTTTGGCTCTGGGGCCATTAGAAAGTAGATAAAATCCAACTCTTTCTGTGCCCTTTACTTTAAATCTGATTCTCCTACTACATTAATGTCTGTAAAAAGTAATGCACTGAATGATCTCACTGAAATGTAATCTAGATGAGACAGAGGTATTTTTGGTTAGCTGAAATTCTTCCTATAGCAGGAAAAGTGGCAAACAAATGAACGAACGAATGAACGAACAAACGAAAGAAAGAAAGAAAGAAAGAAAGAAAGAAAGAAAGAAAGAAAGAAAGAAAAGTGGCAAACGAAAGAAAGAAAGAAAGAAAGAAAGAAAGAAAGAAAGAAAGAAAGAAAGAAAGAAAGAAAGAAAGAAAGAAAGAAAGAAAGAAAGAAAGAAAGAATAATCAGCAAAAATGGACCTAAACTGCTAGATGGGTCACATTTCCCTGAAGATTGGTTTCCAGAATGATTCAAAATGTTGCTGCTAAACTACTGTATTGTCTGTGACTAGTTATAAGAAACATGTTATTTGCTTGCAATGACTGTCTATTGGCCTTTCCTAAGGACAGTTGGGATCTTCAACGTTCTTTAGTCCTCCTATCTCCAGAGGTAAATTACAGAAAGTATGAACAAAGACTTTCTCAGTGGTTGTTCCTGACATTGAAATGGATGTTTTAATTGTCACAGTTGAGATTTAAAATGCAGTGGTCGTTTATGAATTCTGAAGATCAAATTAGTAGCAATAAAAAGCAATTTAACAGGTCTTCCTCAATCTTGACTCCCCTGTAAAATGGATGTGAAGACTGAATGCTTTTATCACTGAAAAGCAAAACATTCTTGAATCACTACATCTACTTTCATTCTAGTTTCTCTGTCTTCATGTATGATACTTTCATTGTGATTTAACAGGAATATAAGGCAAGCGGGTATTTGAACTTGAAATGGAGAATTGACCTCTGAGTCTAATTACCAATAGTCTCTTCTTGATTAGGGTTGCCAGATGTCAGGCAAAAGGAGGACATGTCCTCCTTTTTAGCCTAATGTCCTCCGTCAGGCAGGCAAAGATAAAAACCTTTAAAATGTCAGGCTTTTGTATATTTTATGTTATAATTTTGGATGGGAGGGGAGAGGTGGAAAGACCCCTTCCCCCTGACTTTCCCCACTCCCACCTGCCCGCCCACCCCTGGTATTTTGAAAAAAAGCCTCCATTGAATTTATTTTTAATTTTAACATGACTGTTTCTTTGTCGGTTCACTAAGAGACATTTATTGGCAGCTATTGTAATAAAATTGTATTGATTGTGGGTTTAATCTGGAATGATTCAAATGAAACATTCACTATGTCCTCCTTTGTCCTCCTTTTTGTCTTTCTATGTCCTCCTTTTAGTACCCGTGTATCTGGCAACCCTATTCTTGATCTTCAATTAACTTATTGTATTATGTACTGTACTGATGCATTTTTAAACTGAATATTGAATGTTTGTATTAAACTAGGGGACTCACTCCAGCCTAAAATACAATGGCATTTGCACTATGTGTGATCACCTTGGAATAATCCACGTTTTCTCTCTCTGTCTCACTGAAGATCTGAGGCTTAGATTCTGTGCATATTTACTTTGAAGCAAGTTCTGTTGATTTCATTAGAACCTACTTCCTAGTACATATTCTTAGGATGGAAGCATATGCTATTCTTAGTGCCACTTATGGCATGAGTACTTCCTTTGCTTGTCTTTAATTTGTATTATTTTCTCCCCTCCTTTGTGATCCACTGTTTCCCCTTCAATTACCTTTTGCAATAATTAGTTGTTGCTGCTGCTTTTAGTTCTTTAATACTCATTTTTCCAATTCTGAAGGCTTCTGAAGGAGGCAAAACTGGCCCTTCTGAGCTGTTAAGACTCTGGTCTGGAATAAAACACTAAATCAAGTCACTGATATGACTTACATATCACATTAAAGCCAGGGAATCCACCACAAAATCATTACACTAAAAAATGACAATTTTGATTGATTAAAATGGTTTGGGCTGGATAGTGTTAAATCACTGTGAGTGATGTGACATTACAGTTTTACATATCATATTTCTGTCAAGACAATGAAGGTAAAAGGCATTGTCATCGAACGATAACGGACAATGAGAGGAACCCTTGTGTTAGATTTATGGCTTGGTTTAGATTTTGAAAGAAGTAATTCTTACCTTGTGCCACATATCAAATGACTGTAAATTCCATGATGATGTAAAATTCTAAGGCAGAACCACTTAGAGTTTTGACAAAGTGCCAGCTATAAAGTATTTACTGTTCTCAATGGTTCTGCCTTACACACTTAAATATTTATCAGAATCATGAACCTTTCTGATAAATGTTCCTACTCTTTGCTGCTGTTTTTTCACACTCAGATGATTGTATTTTTTTTATCTGAAACTGTCTTGACATTTCTATAACAATTCTAGGCATCTTAATTAAAATATTAAAAATTTAGAGAGAATGCTACAGCTTTGATTGTGAAGTAAATCTTCACAGCGTCTATAGCTGGCTGCCCTCACATTATAGTGCTAAGTGCAAAGAGCTGGGCAGCACTGTGCACATGGATTATGGTTACAGCTGATTGCATATCATGTTTCTTAGTTGTGATTTATAGCTTAGCAGTTAATTCCTCTGGTATTTAATCTCCAAGGCAAGCTTGGTTTCTGTGGTTGTAGTCAATAGTGTTACTAAAATTGTTAAATTTTTAAATTATGACATTAGCTAAAGCAACAAAATAATGGAGATCCATTTATTAGGCCTTGTAGTGATTTCTAAGACTATTTTAGGAGACTAATTTTATATTAGACTGCTCTTCATAGTATATCAAAAAATGCTTATATATATATATACTTCCATGTCTTGCAGTGGCATAGAAATGATGTTTTATATACACACACACACATAACACTTGGTGAAGAGCATTGAATGAGGGCATGACTTGTGTAACTTTGCGTACCAGGATTTATAAAAACCTATTAATACCTACATGTATTAAGTGAATTATGGGATATTTTCTGACCCCAAAGTATTTAGACTTTGCAGTTGCATTGGCATTGTGGTTGGGGGTTAGGAACAGTGGAAAAAGTAAATACAGACATGTTGTGTTTCCTGAAGCAAGTTTCCTGAGAACTTCCATGTTCTTTAAAATAGAACCAACCAAATGAAAACCAGGGTATGGCATTTCTGTTTCTTGGCATCTTGGTTTGCATAAAAAATAATGAGGAACCTTGTTTATCTCAGTATGTTACATTGATTGATAGAAAAATGACAAAAAGGAAAGACTTGTGGAGGCAATTTTTACTCCAGTTTTTTTGTCTGTCGAGTAAAAATGAATAGGGTGAGTGGCTGAAGCGTATCTTGATAGGTGAGGGTTGAAATGAATATTTCTTCTCTTTTTTGCTCTAACATGCAGGTTTAGGTTTTGAGACTGCTTCTTTCCTATTGAGTTGTTGATTCCAACTTCAGCAGACATATTGATTCAATGGGAACTTGGTAAGTCAAACCATATGGAACTTCCATTAATGCGGCAGACCTCTTCTGGTTAAGAGTAACAATTGGGCTACAGGCCATGGTAACTTGGAATAGATAACCACATCACAGTGTATGAAAATTAATCTGTTTTAGAGGTCTGGGCTACAACAGAGCAATATAGAAGGACACTGAGTTTGTGTACTGTTTGTTGTTGGTCTTTCACCATAATAAATTCAATTCAATATTTAGGTGGTTATGTTGAATTTACCAGATGTGGGATGCTATGTTTGAAGGCTTCTCCATGGGCAAAATTCCCTGCAAAGAAGGAAAGACCTCTGGTATATAATGCAGAAAGAATCTATCCCTGACCACTCACTGAAATGTGAATTTCTAATGGCAAGCATCCCCCCCTCAAATATATGGCTAGATAGCTCAGTGGTTTAGGTATCTGGCTGCACAGCCAGTGGTAGGGAGGTCGTTACTCTGCTATGAGATCCAGACATTAAAAATGACAACCACCTTCTCAAGGAGTCTAGGGAATATGAAATATTGCTAATAATAAGCAGTGTTTATTATTGATAATCAGTAAGTCTTAAAATAAATATTTTAATTTTCTTTCCCTTCCTCTTCTAATTTGCTAAAAGCAACTGTGTTTGGACTTATTCTTACACTAGCTTTCTTTCTTTTTTCTTTTTTTCCTTTTTTCTTTTTGCTTCTTAAAGGAATGATAAGGATGCTATCTACTGGATTTTGACACAAGTTTTGGCTTGAAGAGGGCAGCAAGACAGGGGCCAGAAATAGTTTGTGAGAAAAATGTCAAGCTGAATATCAAATAAGCATTTGGGAATGAAGGTTGGTGATAAGGCATGTGCTGAAATGTTGACAGAGTCTCAGTGTCAGGAGAAGTATCTACTTTTTTTTTAGGACATAGTGATTAATAGCACAAGGTGAACTCTGTAAAAATTGCTCAGGAGGTCTTTAATGCCACAAAACGTTGTAAAGGTTAGAGGAACCAAGCTTTGTCTTATGTGTTATGGTACATCACACAACCCTAGATAATGAGGAAGCTTGAGAGAGAAACACCCAAAATACTCTAGGCATTTAAAAAGGAGAAAGAGAGACGGAGACACACACAGAGAGAGGACAAAATGTTTCTAGTGTAGGAGCTGAGAATTTTTTAAACAATATTATATTAGTTTGAACATGAGATTTCTATAATGAATAATGTTTGAAAGAGAATTTACAGTTCAAATAGCTTCATGCAAAATTTCTATAGCCAGAATTCTTTCCCTAAATCTTTCAATATCTGCTGTACTGTTACTAGACTTCCCATGCCATTTGGTGCTTGGAGGCCGTTAGATTGCATATGGAAATCTATAAAAAGTTCCCATGGCCTGGGTGAATTTCTGATGAATGGAAACAGGCGGGTGCAAAGTCAAGTCCCCTTGACCCTCAGTTTCTCCATCTACCCTACTACAGCTTCAGTGACACCAGAGGTTACACAGGAGTAGCCTCTCTCTCTCTCTCTCTCTCTTTGAATGAACGGAAGATCTTTATGAACGAGGCCTGTTGAGCAGAGAAGAATCTCGCAAAAGCCAGCTCAGACATCACAAAATGTAGCAACATAAAGCATGTTTGTGAAATAACCTGATGACACACCGAAATAACAAATTCAGTTGTTTTACTAGTATATCATTATTTTTGGAATTTTGTTTTGTAATGCACTTTGTGTCAACAGTTTTTTCTTGGCCATCCTACTGTTCTGGACAAAAATGAATAGACCTTTTCCCACAAGTTTTTCTAGGGGTTTTAGAAAATGTCGTCCTAATTAAACTAGTTTGGCAAGTATCCTTCTGCGTAGCTCTGCCATCATAGCAGGAGTGTAGCAGCAGTGGCAGATTGCCACTAATTAGAGGGTTCCTGGTTTATTTTTGGATTGTGTGCTACTCATGCACAATGAGGCAAAGTTGCTTGCAACCCAAAGTTAAAGCAGGAACCCAAAGTTGTGCATCAAGGCTCTTCATTAGTTGCAACCTGCCAGTGACATCATGCTCACTGTGCTGGCAGAACTATAGAACAGGATGTTGATCACTAAATTTATCATGAAATGAGCAAGATCAAAAAGGAAATTAACCTTTCTGTGCCCCAAATTGCTGGAATTCCTGACTAGATCATGCTTTTTATCCTTTGCAGTAGCCTTCCTTCCCCCAACATATTGTGGACCCAGTTTGTGACCAATGATGGGGAAGCAATGTGGCCACCTGCCAGTTTCTTGGTGGCTGGGCCTTGGTTCCTAGGGACTTACACAGTCAATGCTTTGAAGCTTCTTCTGCTCACCTGGCCAGTCATAACAGAGCATGGTCAGGCTTGGGTGCTGTGGTGCAGGACATCAAGAGTGAATCACAGGAGGCAGTTTTCCCTCCAGCTAGCCTGCAGAACAAGAAAATGTTCCCTGGCAGGCCTCAAGCACCCACTCTTCATTGGAGCTTCTCTTCCCCGCTCCATGGCCATGTTGTTTTCAGTTGGTGGAAGGAGGGGATGCTTCTCCTTTCTTCGTTCAGGTACTGGGGCCACTTCCTTGTATTTCTCTTTGTCATAACTAAGCATGGTGGCAGTAAAGCATGGAGCCAGATCCACTTGCAGGGGAATGAATGAGTTGGTTTGCACCTATCCTCCGTTTTGGGAATCCTTTTAACGAACCTTGGAGTGAGATTCATTTACCTTGGAGAGAAGACATTCACTGAGCAAACCCAGCTTGGATTGCTGCAGCTTCCTCATCTAGGAGGTAGGGCATCCACACAGTGACCATGCATCCATATGGATCCTGCTTCCTCCCATCCAGTGGTTTATTCCAGCAAACAGACTGAATGGGGTGGTATATCAAGCAGCATTTGGGGTGGATAATGCTCAATTTTTTGTGCATCAAGGCTCTTCAGCTATAGAATGATCACCTGAAATGAAACTGTGACCATTTTCTCAGTAGTGAAAGTGCCCATATTGTGTTCTGTTCGAGGTTATTTTATACTGGGCCCACTGCCCTTTACTGCCACAATAGATTAATTGCTCCTTGTTGTAAAGTGTAGAAAATGCCTAGGCTGCTTACAACTGCATGTTCCATGTCCTTGTAGAACAAATGCCTCTTTCTTTCATCGTTCTGTCCCTCAGAAATGATCAGCAAACTGGATGGCCCCTTTTCATAATGTCTGAATATTTCACATATAAAAAGACATCTTCCTTCTGCTGCTTTGAATTAGTCCTCAGATGAGCACAATATTTCTGATTCCAGATATATTGTCAAATATATGCTTATCAGAAATTATTATATTTCCTAGTGTCAGTGCTGGTTCCTGGAGGTTTTGTTTGGGGTGTGTGAGAAGATATTATAAATTGTACCCAGAAGGAAAGAACGAAGAACTGGGTCTTCTCGGCAGTGGCCCCTCGCCTCTGGAACAACTTGCCTGTGGAGATCCGCCTGGCTCCCTCTCTGGGTGTCTTCAGAAGTAAACTCAAGACTTGGCTATTTGGGCAGGGTTTGCCTCCTGCTGTATATTAAATTCACAGTCTACCATCTTGGATTTATTGGATGTTTATTGGTTTTACTGTTTTTAAATTTGTAATGCCGCCCAGAGTAGACCTTTGGTCTAGATGGGCAGGGTATAAAACTAACTAACTAAATAAAAATACTCTCTCAAGTGTCTTTACCACTATTACCAGGCCACTATTATTCCTGACCCTTGCCCTCTTCACAACTTGTCTCAGTCCAAACCACCAGAAAGTCAAAACAAGCAAGGTTTCTCTCTCCCTGCTTTTCTGCTTTCTCGATTGCTTTGAGAGTTTGGTAAGGAGACAGCAACCACAAGGAGGAACAGAAGAAGGTGGCTCATGGTGAAGTTTCCAAGAATCTGCACTGAGACTTTAGCTTATAGCTAGCAATGCTCACCTTTGATGCTCACCTGTCCACTGTCCTGTGTCAAAAATAAGAGATCTATGAGATGATGATTTTACCCCATTTTTAACTATAAATTACCATATAGAGGAAAGAAAAAGAGGATTGCCCACCAAACAGCTATCTTAATGACATACACTAGAAATGTAGAAGACTGGATGGATACAACTGTTTTTTCATAAAAACTGCATTCAGAAAGCTGCTTAACATGGAACGGTTACTTTTGATCAGCTGTTGCCTTTCTTAACATTAGTGTATGGAAATACCTCTTTCTCAGGCATTAAACCTCAGTGTTTTCCCATTTCCCACTAACTAGCACTGATTATGTTATCGGAATTCATCTTTTAAAAATTGTGACTTTTATACCAAACAAGCATAAATGCTTTAAAGGCATGCAAAACCCTTCTTGTGCTAACCCTGCCGTGACAGTAGGTGACGCTGCAGGACAGAGAGAATGCTTCCAATCTAGCTATGAAGCCAGCCGTCCCTTTCTCCTTGCTCCTCTGCTAAAAAAGAACAGTGTGACATACAAGGTATGTCCAATGCCCACCGTCCTTTTAATCAGCTCATTCTGAAAAGAAGGCTGACAGCTGAAGCTTTGGAGGAGGTAGCCGTGTTTGTCTGTGCAAGCATATCAGGCAAAATCCAAAGAAACAAAACAAAACAAAGGACAAAAACAGCAGACAATTGTTTCCAGTTGTTCACAGAAAGAATCTCCAAGTGCCTTAGAAAATATATATTGTTCCAAACCTCCTTTAAAAGATGTGGTTGTTTTAATGTGATTAATAACAGCCAACCTAATCCAGAATTTCTTGTCAATTAAAAATAGTGTACTAGACATCAGTAAAAGTCTAACATAGAGTTTCTGAGGTCTGTTTTCTCCTCTCAGTTCTTAACATGAAATAAAATTAAGAGCTATATCACCCCCTAAAAAAATTAACAGCCACATAGGGTATGCTATGCTACATGCAAGCTACGGTATACACAACATATTATACTAGTTTTGTGTGTTCTATACTGAGCATGCGTGGTATATAAAGTATATGTGAGGGCATGACACATTTCTGTTTTATGACATAACACGAAGTTACATTGGATACATCTGACGATGGGAGCAGTAATGTTAGGACCAAATAGATCCTGGAAACCTTGGGGCAAGGGGATAGGGAATCCTTTATTAACAGAATATGGCAGCGGCCACTGACATCAGGCTTACATGACACAACTTCATGTTGCTGGATTTCAGCCAGCGTATCGGACTCTGCACACTGCAAGGAGCTAGAGGAGAGTGCATGATGTACAGGTGGTATATGTCCTGCTCTTGTATATTGCAGGATAGTAGACACTGCATCTGTGACATCATAATCATGTTATAACCTGAACCATGTAGCACTTTAAGTGTGTGTCTGGGGGGAACTGGGGTCACACAAGTACAATAAGTCATGCACCCAATGTTGCCTCCCTTCCCCTAGTTCACCCAGACCTCCATGTAGGTAGCCCAAAACTCTGATGAAGCAACTGTCACCACAATCTTCTTTCTTGACTTTCTTAAACGACATTTTTGCATCCTTTCCTTATTCAGGCTTGCGTTGAGGCCTCAAAAAAAGCTTGAGTATAGCTTGCAGAAAGCTCTGTTCTTATACCTAAGCTGATTCAGAAGGCCAGAATGTTTGCACTAAGTCCAGCTGATATAGAGATTTCACTCTGTCTGACAATCATGAATTGATATGATACCTTATCTACTTCTGTTTGTAAGGATGTCTCTGAAGACTAAGTACATCCCCAGATAATTTTGTGTTCGAGTATAAGCAGCCTAGAATCTACATGGATGTGGGTTGTTTTTTGTTTTGTTTTTTGGCATTTCTAGCCAAGAAATGCCAAAAAAAACACAAACACACACACACACACACACACACACACACACAAAACAAATACTAAATGTGCATGCCTCATCAAGGAGATGTTAAATATTGGGAGGAGACTCAGGGACTCCTACTCCCTGGTCTGATAAGGGATCAGCCCTCTCAACACTGAAAATATTGGATTTTTTCCCTGAGAAAAACTCTTGTGCATCACAAATGCTGCTACAGGTTCCTTCTAGACTGGGCCAATCTTCTGTGGAGCTTCCACTGAACAGAAGGTCCTTTGAGCACAGTGACATGGGATCACACCACTTGCACAAATGTTGCCATTGTGCACGTCCAAGGCAGCTTTTCTTCGTGGAGATCCTCACTTGTGCAACGGCAGTGCTTGCTCCAGTGATGTGACCCTCTGTTAGTACACTACCAGGATTTTCTACTCAGTAGACACCCCCCCCCCAGCTGGATACTGGCCAGAGGGCTTAAAATTATGCTTTGGTTGCTTTATGAATTTGTAATATGGTTGTTTTGGGTTTTTCGGGCTCTTTGGCCGTGTTCTGAAAGTCCTAATGTCTCTGTAGGCAGCATCTTCAGAGGACAGGAATAGCACTCTGTGCTCTGGTGCAGTTTGTTTGGGAGTTGATTTGTAATATATTTAGAGAACGATGAGGTTCTGTTTAATCAGATAAGCAAGGTGGACGGACTTACTCAGATCCAGTGGAACACTTCAGGTCAGGATTTCTTAAAAGGTTTGTTAGACTGCTACCTAAAATCTGTTTTTTGTTGTTGTTGTTTTTAAAGGCTAGGGAGCCCCACATAGTCTTGGAAGGAAGTTTCATTTAGCTCAGAAGGGATTGCTTCTGATTAATCCATAGGATTAAGTTGCAAATATGTGTTATGCGATCTCAGTTTCTATTGGAAAGTGACTCCTGGGTATTCTCTAGCTGTGAAACTGCCTCCTCTATTTGTCCACTCTCTCTCTCTCTCTCTCTCATTTTTCATCTCCCCCTTCCCCCCACCCGCAGCTGGTAATAGTTTATGGAGCATGTTGCTGTGTTAATACCTTGTTAAGGTGGTTTCAGCTGCTGGGTCTCAGAGAGGTCAGTGTCAGGACTATTTTATTCTGATCCCTTGATGTGCCGGGTAAAACTGGGGACAGGTAGAACGTCTACCATCTTTCACTGCAGGGAGCCAAGTGCTTCAGGCATCCCCTCCCATAATGCAGTGCTGCTGGCAGTATAAGCAATAAAAATAATATGTTTCTGGTCAAAAGTAATTAGGGTAACTTAAAGAAGCATTTATATTAATGGACTAGACATAACATCACCAGCATTGCTTGATAGTTCTCAGCTCAGTTTGGTAAGGCTGCAGGTGTTTAAGAGCTGTTGAATGTTATTGTCTGTGTATTTCTGGCAGGTAGCAAAAACAACAACTATTAAAAGTAGCTTTTAAATGGCAAGTAAAAATAGAAGCATGGATTCAAAAATGTAAAAGTTTAATATTATTGTATTTTGTGGTATTGAGTCATCTGGGTCTGGTAGCTGGCATCTTGGAAAAATCAAACATTTGGTCTAAGAAGAAAAATGCAAACACAAATTCATGTTCATATGAAATGAAAAGCATATTTAATGGGAGGCCAAATGTGTATGAAATGTCTTAAATTTCAGTCACAGCAAATAAAGTGAGGAAAGGTGGCTATGAACCCATTTCTTTTCCCTTTCTTTTCTTTCTTTTCTAGTTAATTTCAGCGTGTACACTGAATGGTCAATTTTTGCAATCAAATGGTTGTGAGGTTAATCTCGGGCCAAGAGTGTTTATGTTTCTGTAATACCTACTTAACTTTCTGGATGCCGCCACATTTTGAAAAGGTCTGCTTCTTTTATGCTTTTGTTGTTGCTTAGTTGTTAAGTCGTCTCCAACTCTTCGTGACCCCACAGACCAGACCACGCGAGGCCTTCCTGTCTGCCACTGCCTCCTGGAGTTTGGTCACAGTTCATGTTGGTTGTTTCAATGATACTGTCCAACCATCTTGTTCTGTGAGAAGAACATCTTTCTTTGGTGTGAGCTCTAGAAAGTGTTGTAAGTCTTCATAGAATTGGTCAATTTCAGCCTTTTCAGCATTGGTGGTTGCATCTCAGTACAGCCATTTTTGAGATTGTATCCCAGTATACCTTTTCCCACTCTTTTGTTGAGTAAAAGGGCTACTCCATTTCTTCTACGGGATTCTTGCCCACAATAGTAGATATGATAATCGTCTGAATTGAATTCGCCCATTCCCATCCATTTTAGTTCACTGACACCCAGGATGTCCATGTTTGCTGTTGCCATCTCCTGTTTGACCACATCCGGCTTTCCAAGGTTCATAGATCTTACATTCGTGGTTCCTATGCAATATTTTTTTTTGCAGCATTGGACTTTCCTTTCACTTCCAGGGGCATTCGCAGCTGAGCGTCCTTTTGGATTTGGCCCAGGCATTCGCAGCTGAGTGTCGGATTTGGCCCAACCACTTCATTAGCTCTGGAGCTTCTTGTACGTGTCCTCCGCTCTTCCTCAGTAGCATATTGGATGCCTTCCAACGTGAGTGACTCATCTTCCAGTGTCATATCTTTTAGTCTTTTGTTTCTGTCCATGGA